GCATGACACCACCGGTGAGCAGGTGTCACAGGTGTTGGTCGGAAGCGAGAACCATGCAAACAAGACAAACAAAACAAGACTTGAGTTTGAAAGAGTGAAACGATACTTCTGATGCAGCATGAAATTCCAGACAAGGCATCTCTTCACTTGGGACAATGCGTTCAAACACACCAGTCTCGTCCGAGAGGGCTAGTAGTGACCCATCGAAGTTCTTTCACCGATAATCAAACACAATTCTGGGGTGCGACCACGACAACGACTCGCTGGGGCACGCGGGAGCTTCGCCCCGGTAGCATCACTCACCGCTCAGTTGGTTTTGTTGCAGCCCCAGCCTCTGCAGGGCCGTTAGTTGTCCCAGAGCAGACGGAATTGGTCCTGAAGCACGACGCCCGCAGCATGCGACCAAAGACGGACAAGCGCATGACAGGTGAACAAAGCATGCAACATGCCACGCGTTTACGCTCATCGCACTGGTGCCCAATACAAACGTGCATGACACGGAATATATCGGCCCATCGCTCGGCAACGCTGCGAAGTCGAGCAACACCAACCTGCCCCTCGCACGGTAAGCCCTTCGATACGCGTTGGCCTTGCAGGGACATGAAAGTTGAAACACAGAAACATACAAGGTGATGGTGGGTCGCGCCGTGCCGCGAGGCTCGTCCAAATGGTACGCTGAACCTCGGGTGAGCTGATACTCAAGGGAGTTGGGCTCACATAGGCAGGTATATTGTAGTCCTAACACAAGGGTGTAACCATGAACGTATTTCGTCCACGTTGCGAAAGTGGCCACGTTTACCTCCAGGGCACCCTCCTCATCATTTCATGATTATGACCTTCGGCCATCCCTCCCAATGCATTCAACAGGCGCAAGCACTTTAGCCGAAGACAAAATCAACCCGCTTCGAATATCGAACGTCATGCCCGTGAACGACACAGGGCCTCTTTCGGTCGGCCTTGGCACCCATCCCTACGATGGGCAATAGGAACATGTCACGGCAATGGTGCAAAAATCACGAACCTCGCTTACGCGTGCTCCCTCTCGGGAGCGACGTCCTAAACCGACTCGAGCACTTGATTCGTAGACTCTTTCGGATACTCGGCCTATCACCACCAAACATCTTCTCGTCCTACGCGAGGACCTTGTCGCCACAGCCAGCACCATATCACTTGTCACCGGCCATCACGCAGACAAATATATATGGCACTTTTCGTATTGAACGCTTTCCCCTTGCGGACGTCGGGCGACATCCCAGACACGCAATAATCCTCTTTCAGCAGAAATAATCCGAGGAACACAGCCGGACGCACACGTTTGAATCACTGAAGAACACACTAACAGCACGAGGGATTCCCACGTCTCATCCCCCAGTGTAGCAACAGCGTGGCCCGGCGACACCTAAGCTTTCTGGAGCGGACCCGAGAGAAGGGTATTTGGCACAAAAGGTTGATTCTGGCTACACCTGCCCGCTCATACATTGCAGCAAAACAGCATTGGAAGTTGACCAACAGTGTTTGCATTTTATCGTTGCTGTACAACGTAAAGCTGTTGGTAATGCTGTATGACGATTGTTGAGGATGGATCGTGACGTCGGCAAGATTGATATTGGCATGAACCGTACGCGCCAATGATGTACTTCGGATCACCAAACGTACAGCCATCCTCCAGTCACAGCAAGCGCAGGAGCAGCGGTGAGGGGTGTCGAAGGTACCCTTCTGACCAAATGCGAACCCAGCAGCCGGCAAGACCTTGAGACAAATTCAACAACACCTTGTCGATCAAGCCAAAACCAGCTCGAAAGAACACCGTTAACGCTGTATGCGAACACGGCCTTAAGCACACGCAGCGCCATGCCTCGGGGCTTCCTCTCTCGCGCCGCTGCTCAGAATTTATGGCTGCACCCGACAGAGAGTGCAGGGCAAAGAGACAGTTGACGTGCGCGTTTGTGCGGTCTAGACTTCACAGCTCGCTTTCGTACACACCGGGGGGGGAGGCCTCTTTCGTTGTGCGGAGAAGCGATGTTTCACCTGTCCTCGAATTATTTCCTGTGGGGTTCAACGCCAACAAGCTCGAAACGCGATCTAGCACCACGGGTTACATGGATCTTCAGACTAATGAGGTTGCCCAAGCCTGAGACGTATTCGAATTGCTTCCGAGAGACACAGACCCACGTCATTGATGATTTGTGCAATCCGAACGTATTAATTCAGCCTGGTCGTGCAGCACGTACCTACAAATTGCTACATACCGTAGATGCAACTTCACGGCCAGCGATCCTCACCCAGTATCGGCTAGTCACGCCATGTGAAAACAGAAGTTGTGCACAATTCGACACATGCAACAGGGTTTATCTTCTCCGACCGCCAACTGGCCGTGGGGGGCAAGTCAACCTGGTGGTTTCTGATCGTTCTTAGCCACGGAGAATGAAATCTGACAGTCGATGATCGGTTCGCAATGACCGCACGCCGGAATGCCCCTCCAGGAAGCAAGTTTCAAGGGTATCCATGTCAACATACAATCGTAGTGCGGGAGATATTGCAACACATATCATCTCATGTAACCTTTATGGAATGTGTGCCTTTTGAGATGTTCGGAAACGGGGGACGATGGAAGACGAATAGAGTCACAGCATTTTCCTCGTTTTCTTCTCTGGTGTTTTTCATTGCGAACAGGTCCGAGAGCTGCTTGAAATCGAAATAACGGTCCCAAGACAGATGAACCCGGAAACGACAAGCAGAGCAAAACGGCAAGCTGTTCTGACAGCGCATTTCCGTCTGACACTTAGGTAGGTGAGTGAAATCCATGCATTGTCGGCGACAAGAATGAGTCAAACACCGCCAGCAAATGGTTCAGTGGGACACAGTCTCTGGTGGCGAGGTCTCTTGAATCTCTCCCGAACATCCAAACTAAACATCAACACGATATTCGGGCGGGGAAATGTTCGCCCCACGTCCGTATTCTGGGTACCGACATACTTCCTGGTGCTGCTGATGCCGTGAAGCCACGGAGAATCAAAATCTGAATGTCTCGGGGTTCAGTTTGCAACACATTATGCCGGAGCACAACGCCTTGCGACTCACAGAAGGAAGGGCTTGTGAGTTATCGACGGCAACATACAAGGTGTCATTTAACTCCAAAAAAATTTGGAGCATCTTCTGTGTAATGTGGCCCTTCTTGCGGTGTTCGAAAATGGGAGGCGTTGCAAGACGAAAGAACCACAACAGGTCGTCACTTGCTGCTCTGTGGTATTCTTAACAAACACATCACGGCCTTTCGAACAGATGTCACCGGCAACGGCCAGAAGGAACAAACCGTTAAATTTCTCCGACAGCACGGGTGCGTCTGCCCTTCTATGGGTGGCAACTCATTCATGGTGGGCAACAAATGAGACTGACATTTCGTGCAATTCGTCACGGGGGACCCCCCCCAAGCGAGAAAACAAAAAAATGCTCCAGCGGGGAGATGTTCCCATGACGCCAGTGTTGGACTACTCGATGACCAGAAATACATGCTTCTGGATAGGTACACGATTTGGCACAAACAAAAAAACTCAATGATTGACGGGCGTACATGACGTGCTTTCCCCTGTGGTTCCGGCAGATTGGTTCTGAGGCCTGCCTGGTTCAGTCGCGCTGCGCCTTCTCCATCGCAGAAATATCACCTTGTGCTCGGGATTTTGAGGCTGGGCATACGACTACACGTACGGAATCAGAGATGCTGGATAAATATGCAGATACATGAGCACGAGTGTGCGAAGAATCGTCGTTGGTTCTGACCGAATGCCCGCTCGACAATACCGCCCACGGAAGGAGGGTGGACATGAACAAGCTGGGGGCATACAGACGACGAAGGTAGACTAGTACCTGCGCCAATACGATTCTAAACGGAGTCGCCAGTCCGAGCAAATGAGAGCCCAAGCAGGGGTGCGTCAGTTTGCCAACGGTCCATAAGGAAAGACGGGTCAAGTGCCAAGTCAGGTGATGCATCTGCCGGCTGAAACCTGACCGGTGCCAGTTGGGGGAGCTTTCATACTTGAGCGATAAGATCAACCACAACCTCACCGACTGAAACCGTTTGCTATGAGCCACGTGACACCATGTTCACATGCCTTGTCCTGCACGTTCTAACCCGCAACACTGCATTTCATCATAGCATCAGGAAGCAAGCCGTCGCAGGATTCTCTATTTTGATTGTTCCTGAAGGGTTTTGCCGAAAGTTGTTGATTGGTAGTTCGACAAATAATCTATTGGGATCATTCTCGAGTTTCCTGGCTTGGAAATTGGCGCCACGGGGAGGGGTCCCCGTGTCTTGATGGCGCCTCGTTTTGAACGATATCCGGAGGCGTTCGCTTCAGCAGGAGCGTTTACCGTGCGAGATATCTGCTCCGTGCTGTAGGGTACCCTGAAGATGGTACCCTACAGGTGCAGCGGTTGCAGCAGACCAACCGCAAGCTCACCGAGCAGTCGCTAGTCACAGCAGTTGGGCGTGGGTACGGTCACATGGCTTGCAGCGTTTCGGGTTCGGGCGGCAGGGCAGCTGGCCGTTGCTATTCGTGAGGGCTTTGTTTAGTTCTGTTTCATGTATCGTCACTTCCGGGTAATTTTTCAATTTTCAAGTACACCACCACATCGTGAACTGGTGCAGCCTGGGGGTGTGAAATTCATGGCGTGTACGGCGAAAGCTGAACCTCCCCAGGATCCTTGGAGAAGGGCCAAAACTGCTACTTCCCCCACCTTGACTCTTTCATGACCCCATCTTGCTACAAGTATTAATTACCGTGTGGCATCACAAGTCCTCGCCGTGATTCGCAGGTCACCTCGACAACATGTAGACGTTCAACGGTAGTGCGATCGATTGAATCTTCGTGTGATT